TATTTTATAATTAGATTTTTCTATTCTATTCTGTAGGAAATAAAAAAAAGATACCGTCATCAATCACGGTCGTCGTAAACACCGTTTTAATAAAGATTCGTGTATAAATGTATAAAAGAAGTGGAACAAGAGGAAAGAAGAAGTCCGTGCACTTTAGTACGAGGGGGAAAAAAGGTATAAAAAGTGCAAGCGATCCATTTTCAAAATTAAATTAAAATGGCACTAACATGTGTTACACAACGTCTGCTATGCAAAGCAGCGCTTGTATTCACTCCGTGAGGTTGGCAAACATCTACTGTTGTTCTGCTGGGATTTCTCATGAGATGGCTGAATCGACCGAAAACAAATTTCTCTTCAACAAAACGTCTTTTTTAATATTTTTGTTTTATTAAGATTAAAACCTATTTTATCATTGCACGCTATTTATTTGATGAAAACCAAAACCTGGACGCCGATTTCGTTTTATTTCTGTCGCAGAAGAAACGCACGTATCAGGTTAAATGTGTATCCAATGTATCCAGATAGTAAATTGTAACTTACGACTTGCGGCTTACCCTGGGTCCTTTCATTTCAACCTTAAAGCCCCCAGGACTCTGCGGTCCCCCCTTTTATTAGACCCACGCCCGTGCTACGAGAGCTTTATTCCGGGCATTCAAATTGTCTCATTGGGTCTAATATGGGTTACGTATAACAACGTCGATTCGGATACTACAATTACATAAAAGGAAACTGTAGAACACCTGTTCGTCTATCAAATTTCAAAATTAATTCGAACTTTTTTTGCTGTTCAACAATATTATATCATAAATATAAATGGACATTACGCATGCATTAAAAAAACTACGTGCTAAAAATATGCTGAATACAATGGCGAGTAAAGCCCCGCGGGTTTATTGTTGATTCCATGTTTTCTCTCTTGCTCATTCGTCGATGCAAAAAGCGCAAGCACACAAAGCTGGTTCTCCGTTCTGAAACACAAACAAAACCGCGTTGCGTATTCGCCAATGGACGTAAATCATAGCGGTGGGCATTAGCCATGACACGTAGTCGGTGTGTGTCATAGTACATGACCTATTTATCAGTACGCCCGCGAAATATTACACCACACATTGTTTGCACGCCGAGCGTAATTTCCTACGTTCGGACTGGATAGTTCATACCAAAAAAAATAGGGTTGTATGTTTTGTGGTGATTGTGTCAGATTGGATTGATTATAAAACAAAAATTAAGGGTAAATTAAATAAAAACCAACATAGTCTGCTAAAAATAATATCGAATGACGTTCATATTATTGATTTAGCTAAATGGTGCCATCTACAGTATTCTAGTTATTATTAATCACTTTCAAACTTGTTTGTACTTAATGCAGTGTTAATAACAGTAAGGAAGCTAGTCCAATAACGAGATTGGAAAGTAGGCTGCGAGTTTAATACTATAATTGGATTGAAATGTCAACTGCCTATGTAGATATTGAAGTGGATCTAATTATACTTTTTTAGTACTACTATTTAGTAGTGAATCTAGTAAGAAATCTTATCCAATAGTTGGTTATATCGTTAGTTCTATTTATTTATTAATCTCTGGAATAAACGAATACCGCGGAAATTTGTTTTAAAATATTCCATAAATATATTATCAAATGCTACAAATCGAAAATGGAAAACAAAAAACATAGAAGAATTAAAAAATAAATTAGACGCCTTGCACATAGCAATTGAAATCACGAAAGATAATCCTTTAAAAGAACTATACAAAATATTAAAAACGGAGTACATCAAAAAATAAATCAAGCAAAGATGAATGCTTATGGAAAGTATATAAAGCAGTCTGATAACAAAATTTTTTCAAACTTGTCAAACAAGAAACTGGAAAATCCAGGAAAACACCAGCAGAAGATTCAGCATTAAATGTCGAAGACTTAACACTCTTCGACCAGCTGTGTTGATGCAGTCAGTTTGGTCAACTTGGCAAGCTCGGCGATGGAGTCACTAGGCGAAGTAAGAGAGCTACAGATCAGAAATACAATAAAGTTGAACCAATTATTAACAAACACCTATGTTCTGTCATAAACAAATGTCTACAGGAGGGAATCTTTAGGGAACAACTCAAGCTGGCGAAGATAACACCTATATATAAGACAGGTGACAAAGGTTTATGCAATAACTATAGACCACTATCTATTTTACCAACTATATCAAAAATATTTGAAACTGTAGTAAATAAAAAAATAGTAGACTATCTCATCGATAACAAATTGCTTACAATCTGTCAACATGGGTACCAAAAACAAAGGTCTGCAATAACTGCCCTACTCAGCGTAATAGAAGCTATAATCCACGGTTTTGATCAACAAAAGTTCACTCTAATTGCATTCTGCGACATAACCAAAGCCTACGATTCGGCGAACCATTCAATATTATTGGGCAAACTACAAAAATATGGATTAAGAGAAAATGCATTGAAGTTTCTAGCATCATATTTGTAAGGAAGAAAACAATCAGTTTTTTGGCGAGGTCAACAATCAACTTGGAGAGGAGTGGCAACAGGAGTACCCCAGAGTTCGATCTTGGAACCGTTACTATTCCTCATATATATTAATGATTTGCCAGAAAGTATCCCAACAGAGTTAATTTGTCTTTATGCGGATGACACATCTTTCGTTACAAGAAGTGGTGACATCAAGAAGTTTGAAGAAAAAACAAATCAAAACATTGAAAAGGCAAAGCACTGGTTTTCCATAATCAGATTAAAACTAAACAAAGAAAAAACAAATATACTCACCTTTTACACAAAACAAAATGATGAGGTAACCGATAAATCCATAAAGTTCCTTGGGAAACGCTTAAATGGGCCCAACACATATCCGACTTAAAAAGACGACTATCAAATGCCTTATATTGTGTTAAGACTATACTTTGCAACCTACCAGCAGAGACACTGCGTATACTTTGCATATTTCCACAGTATAGCGACGTATGGGATTATTGCGTGGGGTGCATAAAGAGAAATGGAAGCTATTTTTATAATACAAAAAAAGGCAATTCGTATACTAGCCGGGCTAAGAAATCATGAGAACTGCAGAAGTCACTTTAAAAAATTAAAAATACTCACCTTGCCATGCTGTTTTATACTTACCTGCATTGAGTATATTCACAACAAAACAGACTCGTTACTAAACAATGCAGACAATCACAATCACAACACCCACTACAAGGAAGATATTGTAATTCCGTTTCACAGAGTGGTCAAATAACAAAAAACTTACCACTACATATCTGTGTAAGGAGAAATACGTAATGTTGTATTACTTAATGTAATACAATTTGTATTCTTCCTGTTATAAGTTCTGCAATAAACTTATCTATCATGCACGATAAACCAATGTAGCCGAGCGTCAAATGCTAAGAGCTTCCATTGATTAACTTTATGATCCAACAAGACAAAACTTGTAAACATTCCTATTTAATGATGCAAGGTTGTGTAGATACAGCAAAAAAAAAATCTAATCGAATAATGGAACTGAAAAGCAGACTGCTTATGCAGTTATTGAACATGATATCTGAATGCAAAGGAGTGCATTAAGTGAAATCTAGTCCAAGCTAAATTAAAAAGGTTTCTGTCAGTCGAATTGTTTGATACAGAAAATTAAAGTTCAAATCCCATTACTATACTTGAATCAACTGGATCCACCACTCTTTATGATGTCAAATGCAAAGTTATCGGATTAGATTAATGTGTAGGATGTCAAACATTATTAACGTTAATATGGTCATTCAAGCCTACATGTTAAAGACTTCAAAAGTTTGTTTCAGTTTGAGAAAACAATATTAGTAGTTGAGGTGTACTGAGGTTATCATTTAGGATGAAAATTTAGCAATAGCGGGAAAGTAGGGACAGATCAAAGTGCAGGTCCGAGTACTATATCCACTGTTGTTGACAATATAAGTGCACAAGTAAATAATAGGATAACATTTCCAATTACCTAAAACAAAGTTGAAGCAAAATACGCAGCTTTTAAGTTTGGTGATGTGTTATACTCATCGGTCTAAAGATTTGCTTGTAAGCAAAGACAACTTCTCCTTTTGAAAACTTCTGTTCCTTTATGTTATCTTTTTCGATGGAGATTGCGGTCACATGAGCCAGCATATCTTGAAAGCAATCAATCGTAATTCCAATAAATTTGAGATTTATGTTGTTATTTGGTGACATCTCTATAATTTAGAAATTGGTCATAAATTTGATTGGGAAGGCAATGCGGAACATTTCAAGTTATCTTTTGTGGTTCAAATATTACCATTTTGTATTAAATCCGATTTTCTAAACTGGAATGTTTCCAGAATAATATAAAATACATAAACATATTGCATTGTTTTCGAAAGTTAAAAAGTTAGAAGTTGGACTGAATAACAATTTTAGTTGCGAGATGAAGAAGAGAACGAAATTAAAATATTCGGTCGGTGGAAACCGAGCAAAATGAAACATAAACCTGCCAGCTCGGCGCCGAACCGTCGGAAGAGAGGCCAGTAATGTTCGCACGAGGGGCTAGAACAGCCACTATTCTAATTCTATTGGGATCCTACAAACATCGGTTTCCGACTTTCCCAATATCCTTCGACACAATAATATCATAATGGAATTAAGATTAATCAAGATTTTCCACATAAAAATCTATTTATATCGTCCATTACTTAGATTTCAAGATTTCAAGTGGAAAAGCAAACAGTTCATATCAGCAACACGTGGGGGTTAACATATAACTTTTATTTTTGATTTTATCAATTAAAAAAGAACATTTTGTATCACTTTAAAAAAAAATGTTAAAATTGTATGTATATTTTTTTAATTACGAAAGAATTTCGATATATCTGTGGTTTATACAAAATTAAAACGTGGTGAAGGTTGCGCACGCCTGGCCCCGGTTTGGCGTCGCGACGGCGGCGTCGGTCTCATCGGGGCTCCGTCAAACGTGGCGCGAACCGATAGCATGGGCGTCGCCATCCTGTAAAACGCAACCGCTCCTGCGTTATCCTGCACCTATACAGGTGGATTCGTCGCAGGACAACAGTTCGAAACAGGACGTCCCGACGCCCGGACGTCACCCTTTAAATTTATTACGGTAACATTTAGTTTAGTTGCGCGAATTATGGATATCAACATGGAAATCGGTGAGTAGTGACTCTTTACTAGCTCTTTCCGGCTCATACGTTATCTATTTATTTTTTATTGTTTGTTTTCGGTCGAAGATTAAGTTAATGCAAAAAAGTTATGATCTATTTTCATTTCGAAATCCACGCACGATTTGTGTTTCATATGTAATGAATCAAATGATTCAAATCGGGCCATTTTGGAGGTTATATCATGTGATAACCGCGTTCGTGTACTAAACGATTTATTCTTATATCATAAAATTTATGGTTCTTATCAGCTTGCAATCTGAAATTTCCTATTCAAATTACTTCGCTTCCTGGCAAATATATATTTCTATTTTTAGTTTGTTGCATACTAAAAAAAATTTGATTGCGTAATCAATAGAATGCTAAGAAACTTATTAATTATAAATGTGTAAAATTTAATATATAACTTTTCTGTATGTAAAACAGCAAGAAAATTAACTGATCATATCATCCACATCCATTGCACTTATGTTCCATAAATAATCATAAAGATTAAAATGTTGCGTTACGTGACAACTTTACAAGCTGACAAATTTTATAATTGCTTTAAAAACGGAACCAACCTAATTAAAATTCAACTTTTCCTTCGTTATGTTATACGTCTAAAAGCTTTCTATGCGCAAAGCTGAAACTTAATGAAATACTTGTTAAACATGTGTGCCGTATACCATCGTAAACTTAGACAAAGGTGCCCTTATAGAGCAACACAACTAAAATACCCTTACACATACACCAAACTATGGATTAGTAGTAGGCGACCACTTTGTGGTAAGCCGAAACCTGCCAAAATGAACGACATCCGAATTGTTGATTTAACACTTCAATGAACATCCCTAAGCGGATCACCAAAACTAACCGAGAAACTAAATTTCAAACATGAACTGAAATAGAAATTGGGTATTTAGAAAATTTAATAAGCGAATACTTAATTTAATACGAGATTGGTATAAATTTGTTTCTAATAGTTCTAAGAAAAAGGAATTATAACATTTGGTGTAATGAGATAGGTCATATGTTACTAGGAGTGACAGGTGATCCTTGTTCAAGGTAATGTAGCTGATGTTGTAACTGTCACTATGACATCTTTGTATTAAGAGTAACATGAGGAATGAATCTAAATTATTTAAACATAAACCTTAAAACATCAAGATAGATAACTAATGCATTTCGTTTTAATATTTATCGCTGCATATCGTCTTTTCATATTTATTATGCATTATATACATCCATTCCATTATTCAATATACACATTAAATATTTACATTAATGCATCTACCTTAATGAAACCATTAAGAGCAGACCACAAATACATATAGGTATGTGTACATTTGTAGTTATTCTATTTGACCATTAAAGGCAATTACTACCCACTTTAGTGACTACCTCGTATGCGTTATATCATTGATTGATCAAAGACATAGTATCATTATGCCATAACATCGATTTAATATCCATGAAGCTCAAAATTTTACGAAATATTTCCCATTTTGTTAGGTAAATCACGTTGAAGTTCATGCCAACCACAAATCATTAAATTAAACGTCACAAATTTAATCTTTAATAAATTTCAAACTGTGCACATCGCGAAACTTAACGCTTCCATCTCGTTCATCGGAGCGGTTTAGCTGCTGGCGGTGGGCTGGTTGCGAAACTGTCGACGGCCGAAATCTCGTGATTTATATCACCCCGTCCGGAAAGATATACGACTCCGTATTAATGGCGGTAATTATATGAGTAGTAGTAGGAAGTGTGTAATTCTAGAGCCGCGGTAACATTTCACCACCGCGCCGCTCGCTCCGCCACCGACGGCCACGTTACCTGTCCCAATTAGCACGTGACTTATGTATCGTCGCCGTTTTACCTCTACCAAAACGTCCGTTTTCAGCTCGGCACGTTTCATAATCCCGGTGCATAATTAAAAGTAATTGTACCTCTCTTGGTATTAAGTTACGTCCAGTTTTGCAAAACGTTATGCTATAAAGAAACGTTTTGAATTAATTTTTCACTTTTACACTAGATTTATCTCAATATCAAAATTATTCATTTTGAAGTTTCATTGCGTTGTTATTAAATTGACCAACAATACAACTCTTAGTTAAGTGTATTGTCTTTATTACACACCGCCGGTTTCATCAGTCAAGTCATCTTCAGGAGTCGTGTCATAACTAATATTAAAATATAGAAGTATAGCAAAATCTCAGACAATAAAACCAGAATATTCTGATTGAAATGAGATCCATGACTCGGTCCCAAAAATCAAATTATCACTTAAGAATGATACCAAAGTGATGAAAACATATTGATGCTACTTAGCTTATCTGCTAAAAGTTTAGCATAGGAGTATATAAACCTATTCAAATCTTACAGAATACCAAAATATGATCACAAATATCCTAGGGGACCATAGTAGCGCAGTCGAAGCTAAATCTATAAAGTACTCTAACAATAGTACCATAAAAGCACTATCAGGGCCAGCAGCAAACACTACTTCTTTACAAAAGTTGTGGAACCCCTTAAAACTTAAACTATTCCTCAAAATTCTTTCGTCTAGGGTTTCAAAATGGCCAAAATATATAAATCTATCAAAAACCGTTACACTGCGCAAATAAAACCGCAATTGCACTAAGAAATACTGAAAAATACTTTATTAAAGCTGGAGATCTATTTTCAGCATACAACGAAATCATCAGTACTACGACAGTTTGGTAAAAAATATATGTAGTAGGATCTCTGGAAGTGTACATAAAGGGAGCGCGGGGAAGAGGGAACAGGAAGACAATGGAACAAAATGGGAAACACATTAGGGCAGATTGGTCTAGAGAAGGGATAGAGCATTATAAGGGAAAGTCGGCAAGCTAGGGTCAGAGGGTGAAGGGGACCGACGGATTGAATAAACTGATTGAGGTGGTTAGGGAGGCGACGTTGAAGAAGGAGAGTGGGCGACAGTTAAACTGGGAAGGAACGAATAGGGATAGGAAATGCAGAGAGGCGAAGAATGCTCGAAGGATATTGAGAGCCAGGAGAAAATAAAAAGAAATACAAAGAAACTGGGAAGATTAGGGAGTTGAAAGAGGAAAATGATATATGGAGATACTTAAAGAGGATGAGGGAGGGAAGAGAGGAAGTCAGCAAAGATATACAAATGACGGAATGGAAAACCTACTTCATGGGATGGAAAGAAGATAACACTCATAGAAGTAAAAGCAGTCTTGAGAGGACTGAAGAGGGGAAAGGCGCCAGGAGGTGATGAGATCCAGAATGAGGCATAGTTGGAGGCGATGGAGAAAGTGAAGAAGAAGCTATGGCAGGTAATAAACGACGTATGGAGAGGGAAGGGTAGAAGCAGTATGTCCATTAGAGTATCCAGTATTGCTTCTCCTAAAGAATATAAAGCCTATACTGAAGAATACTAACTTTCAAATTATCAACCAAAAACAATAGTTAGGCGTAAAACAACAGGTCGTATTTAATCCATTCAAAAATCAAGTGTAACATAATTTTTAGCAACCAGAACTTTATGTCACTCCACTTTTTTCTTGTCATTCATCTTCCTGGCAATGTCCAGGATCCGTATTTGAAGATCGTTTAGACCGTTAAGTTAAAGCAGGACATGTAGAATTTATGTGGCAAAAATGTTTACCTTTAGCATATTAATTTAACAATTTGTTTCATTCTCCCATGTAATGTAATGCCCAGTAATGTTTTATTGGCTGATGATTGGATCATTCGTAATGTTTGTTGTTAATTAAACCAGTTTTTCTGGAATCAGTATATATCTTTATTGAAACATACAGTTTCTCTGGCGCCATAAAAGAAATCTCATCATTTTTAGATCCATATAATAAAAATGTGTTGATTGAGTAAATCAATCACCACTTTTATGTCATTATGTTCTTTCCAAAAATATACCGAATTACTGGAACCACTCCATAAAAATTGTCATTACGCAATAAAAGATGTGTCATATTGAGCAGAAAATGGAACAAATTGAAAATTTCTTCATTGAAGAGGTCAAAAAATGTAAATAACCTCAATTATGTAAAAGTTTGTAAATTATATCAATTTCAATTCCTTTTATTTCGAAAAAGTTTTAAGATTTTTAAAGGAAGCTTATAACGTCGACAATTGTCAACTGGAAAAAATCTTAAGTTTCCATTTACGGCTTTAAACCATCTTTTCAGGAGAATCCTTTTTCTCCTCAACTCCACAATGGACAAAAAACGTTACCTTTAAAACCTTTTTTCACTCACTCTACTTTTAAAGAAGGCTTATTTTATTCTAAAAAAAATTTTACTTTGTAACAAGTGGGTCATAATGTGTCATTTGAGCATATTTTAAATTAGAAAATAATGAATGTTTCATGAACGACGTTACGGCTTCCGCGACCTATCGATTTAAACCCGATAAAATTTATGAAGCGGAGCGTATAAAAATGTTACCTTGTAACCAAATAATAACTTGATTTTTATTTAAAATTTAAATGAAAAAGAATACTTTTCGGAATAAAATAAAATAAAGGGTATTCATAATAAATGAAATGAGTCTCGTAAATATCATGCGAACAAAATATTATATAGAACTTGCGTGAAAACGAGTATATAGGTGGGAACTTTATGACAGACCCGGATTTAGCTTCTCTCCATTGTATGACAAAAGGAACCATACCGAAAACGTACGCGGAAAGCTGTGTTATCAGCGTACATCATATGAAAACCCTAATTCTGTTGATGACATAAATTGTATTCATGTCACTTCTACCTAATACCGTAATGCTTTTATGAAATTCCCCTTGGTTTTATCGAATAATGGTATTTATAACAAAAACGAAATTGTTACTGGGACAATAAAGTCTACTTCATGGAAACTACGTGCGTGTTACGCTACAGCCAACGAGTATTTTTGGTTTTATCGATAGTCGTAGTTGAGCTAAATTTTAAAACGTTGTAAATATTTACGGGTATAGCAAACAAAACCCAGGTTTTCGATCCAAA